CAGGAGGGTCATATTGTCATAAATATGATACCGGAGGCGAGGACAATATTAAATACAAATAATACCAAATAATACCAGCTTCCATCCATCCATCCATCCATCCATCCAGTGGTGGCATTCAATTTTTTTTACTACCGATTCTGTGGGTGCGGCTAGGTGGGCATGACAGGGGAAGGACACCATAAAATGTTCATTCCCTCCCCACTCCAGGGGAAAGTTACTGCAAAATCCCTGTTTCCTCCCGATCAGCTGGGACTCAGGAGGCAGAGAATAGATGGGGGTGGGGCCAGTCAGAGGTGGTATTTGCCGGTTCTCCGAACTACTAAAATCTCCGCTACCAGTTTTCCAGAACTGGTGAGAACCTGCCAAATACTACCTCTGCATATATCCATCCATCCACCCATCCAGTGAGTGACTTGGGAGCAAACAGGATCAAAACAGAGTGAAAACAATAGCAAATAATTAAATCCTCAACGAAGGTGAGCTTAAATGAAAATGATTTTCTGTCTTTCTTGCTATATTCATGGGACCTGCCATTTAAACCCCTCCCACCCCTTTCCCCCAAAGCTAGGCAAACTCTGGGATTCAAACACTACACAGAAGTCAATAAGGTGCCATTAATGTTAGCAATTCAAAACCTTGAGAATTGAAAGACCAACTCTTCCTTAAGACTTCAGTAAGGCTTGGGATACTTCTTCCCAGATTCCTTCCGACCTGGACGAGATCAGCTGCCAACAGACTTGCCTTCCATCTTGGGCTAGATTATGCCTCCTCTCCCTTCCATTCCTTTCCCAGGCTCCCCAGAATCTCTTACTGGCGTGCCTATTTGCCCATCCCTTATGGGCCATTGCTGCAAATCCAGGTCTCAACATCCGCACGAGTTCCGTCTACTCAAAACCTCTGTGGAAAATACTCTCTCCTCACAGATCACGTCAATAAGCTGTAACAATGAGCCAGATGATGGGTTTTTATAAGAATTGGATTTGATCCCAATTACTGAGAACTGGTTTAGTTCCATCCTGGAGTGCCCAGTTTCCAATACTCCAGTTCTGTTAGTGTCAGTTCTTCGGTTTTAATGGAATATCGAACATTTACGCTCGGAAATGTCACTCTCGAATGGCGAAGCCTTCAGGTCCAAGCAGAATGAAGCGGATATTGCAAGCTTTAAAATGCCACTCACAGCCACTAAACAGTTCTTAGCAGAATGTATCTGTACCACTCTACTAAAGCGTTTCACTCCCACAGTGCTTTCCCCCCACCAGCCCCACTTCTTCTTGGGTGGTATAACTTCTCTGTTTCTGAGGGTTTTCCTAAGAGGCAGCGAAGTGGGATTTCATTTTTAGGATGTCACTGAGGGGGGCATTACTTAGAAACGGGTGCAAGCAGAGTTTTTGTCCTGCCAGTTTTATAAGATTCTGCCAGTTTTATGAGATCTTATGAGATTCAAATCTTGCTAATGCCCACAGTGGAGGACATTAGATGGCGAAGATGGTGGAACTTGCAGAGATGGCTAAATTAACTTCTTTGCAGAGAGAAAACAATATCTACATTTATGGCTGGCTGGAAACCCCTTAATAGGCTTTTTTTGTGTGCATAAAATGGGGAAAAATGCACCTAAGATTTGTGGTTTTGATGATTAAAAGAAACCTTGAATTGTAGAAAAGTATGAGCTTTTTTTGTAAGAGAGGAAGCGATAACTTTGTAATTATACTTGTATTTGCTGCAAAGGAAATTGAAAGCTGCTTCATTCTGTTTCTCTTTCCTTTTCTCCTTTTCCTTTTAATTAGTTTGTCTTCATTCGTTTCTTCTTTGTAAATTTTAATAAAAATTATATAGAAAAAGAAAACAAATCTTCCCAAATTAGACAAATAACTTTTCAATAATAGAGAAAGAAAACATCATTATGTCAATCATCCCACTCAGTCATCTAGCAAAGGAAGACCCCTGGCCATTTGTTTCAGCCAAGAGTAGACTTTACTGAAGCTGAAGTGGTTACAGAGGTAGCAAAGCTGGTTCTGGCATTTTCACGCTCAAACGATGCAATGAATTTCCCCCCTTTCCCAGCTTTCCAGATGGTTACCTTGGTGGGCTGGAGCCTCTCACGTCTCGGACCGGCACAGTGCGGCTTCGATTACCCCCCTTCTTCCTCCCTCTATTCCAATCCTGTCTTCCACCATTGCTAATGTCAGGCTGTTAGCCTGTGAATCTTGGATAGCAGAGTAGCAGCCATGACACGCTCTTATGCTAGCAGAGAGGGTCACGTGTGGTTGGACTCCGTATTGTCCCAATAGCCCCACGTGGCAAGCCAGGCTCAGAACCACTAAAGTCAACTACAGAGATGGGTGACTGAGGGAGATCTGCTCTCCGCCCAACCTTCACTTGACCACAGAGGGAAAAACCTGTGCAGGGTTTAGTTGAGGGTGCTGAACTTTTTTGCCAAGCCTGCGTTAGCAGAGAGCAAGAAAGTTTTCAGGCAGTGCAGTCACATGGCTGTTCTTCTAGCATCCCACAGCTTGGAAACAGGGAAGGTGAAGCTGTGACAGCAGATGCAGAGATCACCCCTGCAGGCTTGCCTGTTCAGTTTTAAGTATAGTTTTAATTAGATGATATTAAAATGGGAACGCTGGCAGGCTGCAAATAAAAGCAGCCTCCTCCTGCATAATAATGGTGGTGACAGATACCACCTCTGGATCCAGAAGGGGTCTACGATAACTCACCACAGTCTATGTGCCAGGGTCAACACACCATGGCCAATTCCCCACAGCCAACTCGCCGCAGGACAATTCAAGAATGGAATGGACACGGACTAAGACTAGGACTAGGCTAGAATTCTTTATTGGCCAAGTGTGATTGGACACACAAGGAATTTGTCTTTGGTATATAAGCTCTCATTGTACATAAAAGCTATAAGTGATAAATCACGATCATAGTCATCATAAAAATACATTCATCATGAATGATAAGATACAACACTTAAATCATTTTAAAAAGCTAAAAAATATTTTATTTGTTGTCATTCATATTTCATTTTATCCCTCCTTAGGATCCCTTATTTAATGATTTTATTCCAATATTTCTTCTATATTAGTATAACTCTTGTCCCGCAGCGAGTTAGCCATGACGAGTTGTCCCGTGGCAAATTGGCTGTGGCAAGTTGTCCCATTCCACCAGAAGGCGTCCTCAGAAAATGAGTGGGGTAGATTGCAGCTCGAGATTCAGCTGGAAGATGTCTCCCCTTCCTGGAAATGGAAAAGGTTGACTTGGTTGGTAGAGGCCAGACTGGGAAGCACCATCCTAAACCAAGGTGGGCAGTCTTGAGTTTCTTGCTCACCCATTCCTGTCTTCCTGGGATAAGCTGGACTTTCTGTAACAGCTGCTGCATACTTTCTTCAGGACATGTCCATGCTTCTCTACACACAAGGTGTGTGTGTGAGAGAGAGAGGGGGGGGGGGGGAGGGAGGGAGGGAGA